GGTGTCGTTAGACCAACACTTGCAGTCACATCTGTTGATATCTGAACCCCTTTCAATTCATAAACTGCATCTCCAATTCCAACGAATAAGTTTTCAAAATACTCTACTAGTTCGTCAAGAGAAGCTATCTCTACTAGCACGCAGGTTCCACAGGGATCAAACATTCCTTCGGAATCACGGCTATGTGAGTCAAAAACTTTAAACGTGCCATTGCTTTTTACAAGAATGGCTACCGTACAAGTCGTTACTGTGAGAATAAACGATATAAAATTTTCTCTAAGCAATAATTGAAACGCTTCAATCAAGGGTAGACAATGAGCTTCTATTGTACAGTCATTAAAATTGTGCACATTTCCAAAGTAGCTGTCACTGTATATTAATCTATACATAGTATCTCTCAGACACAATACTTCAGGTAATTCCGTCAACATTAATAAATCCTCTCCTGCCGACTGTGATAGCCGTGTGTATAACTCATTACCAACATTCATTATTTCTTTAAGATCTGAGGATGATCCTATTGAATAGATGAAGTCGAATAATATTGCTATCGAGCTCATTGCAACACATTGTTTTCCCGCATTTAAACCGAAAACTAAACTATTTCCTTGACTATATGGAGCATGAATGGTTTTGGAAGGATCTACAACAAACGGACCAGGATTTGTCTCTATATCCCCAGAGAGCTTACTGGCAATGTTGTTTTTTTTGTGATTTAAGCTCTCGTGAGCCATTTTACTTCGTAAGGACAAAATTTTACAACTATTTCTCAAGGGGTATCTCTCAGTCATCTTAAACTCATTGGCATCTGTTATACGTTTGCCATTAGCAAAGACAACTGTTTTCCGAGGAAAGGGAGCTCGGACAACTTGATAAACTTTTGACGACTTGGGAACATTTTTTAATACATAATTTCGAATTCTTTTCCTTAGTTTTCTCTTTTTCAAAAACCGTTTCATCTGTTTCAAAGGCAGTCTACTCGGTTCTGTACAGCGTCGTCCTTTACCGTTCCTTCGGCTGTCGACATTACTAATAAAAAATGCAAACCGAGATCGACAAGAAGTTTCTTTTATTATCTCCATTATACTATCTGCGTTTGACAACTTCACGTCCTCACTGAGCACCCTCTGATGCAGTATTCACTTCAATACTGTGTGCTGTATTTCACTATCGTCACAACTTCAGTCTCTTTTGTTAAGCTTTGTTTGATTTTGTTTTTCTTTGTTTCAACTTCAGTCGTTTTTTATGTTAGGACGAACAGGGTGACTCTTCACCCATAAACTCGTAGATCAGCTACGGAATCTTGGATCCTAAAGAAACAAAAGGACAAAACAATTAAAACCAAAGCCATCTGAGACCCATTTCATTTTATTTCTTACTGTTTCCGTAATAACAAGTACCAGGACAGGTGATAATATTGCAGGCCATAGAACCCTACGAAGGGCAGGTATATTTTGCAGGTCGCAGGTTGCAGGTTGAAATTCATTATAACTGGAAAAATAATGAATAACCTATATACTCGCCAGGGTTTCTTACTTAGAGTAGCTTGCGTCTTTCACATAGTGAGAACACGCTGTTATTAATATTGAGGCCTTCTTTGGCAATCTTCTAACTTGTTANTCCCCTACCCCACCACCAGAATTTTGCTTGTATGACCAAACGTTTCTCTTCTTGCTGAACATTTAGGCTTTGCATGATTTATTAAATATCTTGCGATCAATCAAAAATTCATAGCGAAAACCATTCCACAACTATACCATAAAGATACTCAAAACGCGTTTTATCGGCAATATTCCACATTTTATCGGCTACATTCCGATCTAATCTCAAATTCTCTTCGTACAAGCATTTTCCGAAATAAACACCATAGCATCTACCTTCACGTTTCTTGTCTGCAAGCGGTCCTTGTTGATTCACTGATTACGGAATCTTGGAACCTAAAGAAACAAAAGGACAAAACAATTAAAACCAAAGCCATCTGAAGGAATTTTGTTTTATTTCTTACTGTACGTTTCCGTACGTACTGGAACAGGTGACAATATTTCAGGCATAGAAACCTAAGAAACTGCACGCTTACACAGACTTGGGAACGATACGATAAACCGTTTCTCTGTTATTCCCCCTCTTCCAACCCACCACCAGAATTTTGCTTCTATGACCAAACGTTTCTCTTCTGGACGAACATTTAGGCTTTGCATGACTTATTAAATATCTTGAGATCAATCAAAAATTCATGACGAAAAGCATTCCATAACTATACCATAAAGATACTCAAAAAGCGTTTTAACGTCCACATTCCACATTCCCATCTAGTCTCAAATTCTCTTCGTACAAGCATTTTGCGCAATAAACACGATAACATCTACCTTCATGTTTCTTGTCTCCAAGCGGTCTTTGTTGATTCACTGATTACGGAACAAACAAAATCGTTTCCTCAATATGTAGCACAACAACTGAAAACAAAGACTACACAAGAACTATTTAACAATTTAGAGTTTTCGCCGCGCCACAATTTGCCTCCGCGAACAAGCGTTTTTCCTATTGTCCAACCTTTAAGATTTGCATGACCTGTTTAAATATCTTGCAATCAAACATTCACGGCAAAAAGCATGCTAAAAGCAGCAATACTACAAAACCAAGCGCTTCCAAAACAATCACCCGAACATCTACCTTCACGTTTCTTGTCTACTAGCAGTCCTTCTTGATTAACTGATGGCTATAAACACAAAATCACTTGATCAATGTGTGACACAACAACTGATATCAACCGCTACACACGTACTGTTTAAGCCTCTTATTGCACCATCAGTCGAACCCGTTCTGAAATCTCCGATGACGTAATGGTCTTAATTTGGAACTTCATTCGGGATATGTAGGCCAGAACAATACGATAATAACACTAATAACAACAGCTTGCTTTCTTAAAAATCATGATCGAATTTAATTGGTTTTTTTCCATGAGTAAAAGGCTAGCAAAGTAGTTACACGAGTCACATAATTCAAGAACTCCGTCTTTCCCTACAAAAGATGTAATTCTTGCACATTCTGACACCTTCTTCGCTTAGCTTGCAAATATTTAATATTCTCCCACCACTGAACTCGCTGCCACGAAACAGCCAAAGAATTCGCTTCATTTGCTTTAACCGACAAGAAATACTCCCAAAATTGCAAATAAATTAATCACCGTCACTTCTGGCGTAGTCTCCTTCGCAGCCGTTATTTGCTCAAAAATTGCAGCCAAATCTTTCGGAGATGGGAGTCAAGACATTTGTAAGGATACAGATAGTAATTTGGGACCACTTGCTGGCTTCTAAGGCTGAATTTATCCAGAAGTAAGCTGTATTTT